CAATCTATTTCAGTAAAAACTATAAAATCTCTATGTAATTGCTCATATATCTAATTATATTAGGGAAATGGTATAAAATAAGAAAAAACTATTCGATAAACTCTGTCGCTTTATTATATTGTACGAATAATTAAATATTATAGTTTTCCGTATGTTAATAGGTTATATGCGAGTTTCATCGGAAAATGAACGCCAAAATACAAATTTACAATATGACGCATTAATTGAGGCTGGTGTTGATCTGCGTAATATTTTTACAGACAAGGTAAGTGGTGCTAAAACTAAAGCTACTTGGGTTGAGGGATAGACGGCGCTCTTTTATGCTATTATTTCGACTTATCAGATTAAGTGAAGAACTTTATAAACTAACTATTTATTACAAGCAACTTTGAGTTTTGTTCCCACACTGAATTTTGCTTGTGTATAAGCTTTAATTGTAAGTGGCTTACCTGTTTTAGGGTTATGCCCTACCCTGGATTTTCTTTACTAGTATAAAATTTACCAAACCCCATTAATATTATTTCTTTACCACTAGCTAGTGCAGAAATAGTAGAAGAAGTAAACATATTAATCACCCTCTCTGCTTCTACTTTGCTACAACTATGTTCCTTAGCTATATGGTTTATAAATTCTGATTTGTTCATTGCATTTTCATGTATATTAATTTTAGTTATTAGATTGATATTGTCTTAATATGCAAATTATTTGCAAGAAAAGCAAGGATTATAAGTCTAGCTTATCTGTTTTTATGAACCCATTATCTTGAAAGTAGAGCAAAACTCCTTTTTTATGTTAATTATAGGATTTTAGCTTTATTTATGCTATAATTCCTTTAAGCAAATAATTCATTTAAATAATAAAATAGTAATGACTGCTAGAGTTTCTGATACAAGTAGCCCACTAGAGGAAATTAAACTACCTAAAATGAGGGTAGGTACTGATGATTTTAAAACATTATTGCTAAATAGTGAAGTATTTGTTGATAAAAGTCTAATGATAAAAGAATTTCTGGAAGATAGTGGAGATGTAATTCTCATTACCCGACCAAGACGCTGGGGTAAAAGCTTAAACATGGATATGCTTAAGAAATTCTTTGAAATAGAAGTGGATGATAAGGGCGCTCCTTTACTGCAAGAAAATAGACTAAATCATAAATTGTTTGTTGGTGGGGAAGTAAATATAGGTTTTGATGAAATCAAAGAACTCAAACCTCTAAAAATTGCAAGTATAACAAGCAGCATGAAACGTCAAGGACAATTTCCTGTTATTTCTATAAATTTTAAAGATGTTAAGGGAAGTAGTTATCAGGAAATAGAAGAAGGAATAAGAATAAATGTTAAAAATTCTTACGATCATCACAAATATTTAGAAAATAGTAGTAAAATTAGTATAGAAGACAAAAAAGATTTTCAAAAATATTTAACAGGTAAAGTAGAGATAACTCATTTAAAAGTTAGTTTAGCCTTCTTAAGTAAACTACTATTTAAACATTTTAATCAAAAAGTTTATATTTTAATTGACGAGTACGATACACCAATTAATAGTTCATACCTTAAATTTGGCTACAAACTAGAAGAATTTGAACAGGTGCTTGAATTATTTCCGCGGGATATTCGGTAGTAGCCTAAAAAGCAACCCTTACTTAGAAAAAGGTGTGATTACTGGCATCTTACGTATCGCTAAGGCTAATTTATTCTCGGACTTAAATAATGTCACTAAATATACTTTACTAGATGCAGATTTTTCACAGTTTTATGGTTTTACTCAAGCAGAAGTTGATGAGTTATTAACAAAAGTACCAACAAAAACTAATCCTGAAGAGATTAAAGATTGGTATAATGGTTACACTTTTGGAAGAGAGATAATATATAATCCATGGTCCATTATGCAATGTTTAGCTCATAAAGGTAAACTTGATCATTACTGGTTAGATAGTGGTGGTACCGGGCTTGTAGATAAAGCATTATTAGCAAATGAAATGCAGGAAGATATGCAACAACTAGCTAGCGGTAAAAGCATTATATCACCTATTACTAGGCATATTAATTTTAGTAGCATTAACACGCGGTCCGGATTATTTAGCCTATTACTATTTAGTGGTTATTTAAACCCAACTGCCATCGAGCCAGAAGAGAATATTTATGAGTTATCTGTGCCGAACAAAGAAGTACAGCGTATATACAATGCTAGGATGCTACAATGGGTTACTGATCAGTTAAAAATTGACCACTCTCGTTATTATTCTTTTGTGAGCTTACTACCTGTTGGCAAGATAGAAGAGTTTAAGGAAAGATTACAGGAATTACTACGTGGTTCTACTAGTTTTTACCAAACAGGAGAGAAAAAATCAGAGTTGTTTTACAGTGGCTTTATGTTAGGTTTAGTCCATACATTATCCGGAAGTTATACAATAGAAAGTGAGAAAGAATCAGGCAGTGGTAGAGCTGATGTTATTTTGCTGCCTAAGGCTGATAAATATGATAATGGTATTATCATTGAGTATAAAATATCCAAAACTTCTGACGATTTAGAATCCATTGCCAAAACAGGATTACAACAAATTATAGATAAACAATATGATGCTAAGATCAAGCAGCACCCTCATGTTAAAAAGATCATAAAGATTTCTATGGCCTTTTGTGGTAAAGAAGTGGCTATGCAATATCAAATTAATAATATTTCTTTGACTCACTAAAAACTTGTAGAATTATTGCTATGAAACCATCTATCATTTATATATTAGTTATATAATCCTTTATATAACTAATATATAATTAATACACAACTTTTATATAATATTGTACTTTTCTATAGGTATTAACAATTATACAATGCCATATTATACAGTCTCTCCATCAAACAGCTGTAATAATAAGTGATAGGTTATACAGTAAAATTAATAATAAAATCTATAAAGAAGTAATGTTTTTAGGTTCTTATATCTTATAGAAATAATATAAAAGTATCAGTTAAAAAATTTAGTTTGTTTTTGGGGAATAAAGGGTGTTTTTAATAAGGTATTCATAATTAATCTTTAAAATCTAGTAATTTGGGCTAAAGTTTTACTATTTTTAGAAATTAGTGTCTAAAAAGTTATTTTTTTGATTTTTGATAGAGTAGAGAAACTATATAACCATTATATATATAGTATATAATGGTTATATAACAACTAATTTTTTTTACCTATATATTCTGCTACTACCCTAACTATAAAACTTGATCTACTACCTTCTGTAGGATTATGTTTCAAATAATCATTTAGTGTTTTATAAAATGAATCTGACATAGATATCATTCTTCCCTTATACTTTTCTTTTGTTTCTTGTTTTATTGCAAAATCTAAGTCTTTATAACTTGTTTTTATAAAACTTTGTTCTTGATCAGAAATTTTATTTGGGTTAGGTATATATCTTTTTTGATTGGACATAATTTTAATATTTTATATATCTACTATATATTCCTTATATAACAAATGTATAATGCTTTTTTATTATTGAAAGTATTTCATTTGCACAAGTTTCTATTTCTCTTGTTGCTTTCTCATCTTGTGGAGAACATTCTATCACACCTCTTCCACTTTTTATGGAATGTTTAAAAGCTACCCTCTCTTTAATTACTGATTTTAATATATAATCAGGATTAATATTATTTTGATCAAAGAAATTATTGGCTTCTTCAATAGCTAGTGAAGAGTGTATACTTGGCACTTTATTGTATAAGAGTAATAAGGGAATTTTTCTATTTTGTATTGTTTGAAGTTTTTTTAATATATTTGTTAGAGATTCTATTTCCCACAAATCAACAGCTGATGTAGAACATGTAGTAATTACTATATCACTTCTCAGCAATGCACTTCTCATATTAGAGTCATCAACTCCTGGACTATCAATGATAACAAAATACCCTTGCTGCTTTTTATCATTTGCTATTTCTAACAAAGCCTCACCTCTAACACCAGCAACAAATAATTTATTTATTTTTTCTCCTCCTTCTATCATATAATCTCTCACTTTAGACCATTTACTTATAGTTCCCTGAAAGTCTGCATCAAGTACTGCAACTTTTTTACCTTGATTCAATAGAACAGTAGCTAAATTTAATACAAAAGTTGATTTACCTACGCCACCTTTGGTACTAGCTATAGTGATTATATACATTGCATCTTTATTATATAATAAAATTATAATACATATATAGTCATTATATATTTATTATACAACTAATATACAATTTTTATATATATTTTATAGACATTAGTTATGTCTATCTGTAACTTAAATACAATGATAACTACAATGTCTTATCAAGGCACACATTCTAAGTGCATTTATTTTGCTTATTATACTTGACACTTTGTGTCATTTCGCATAATTTATTTAATATATAAGAAATAAACGGTTTTAACTAGTGGCTGTATTGAAAAGTGATGTAAAAAGGGTAACTGTTTCAATGCCTAAATCTTTCTTAAGAGAATTAGATTTGCATTTAAAAAACTTTGCTCTAACTGATAGAAGTAGATGGATTCTCGATACGCTTAAGGAGAAGATAGCACAAGAAAAAATTCTGTTAACCGAACTACAAGAAGAAAAAGATAAGGATGATTAAATAAAATAACGGTGCTAAATAGCCTATAAAGACCATCTAACACCTAAATAGTGCTACACTTACACACTACATAAAGCTTTGATACGGCATTATATAGAGTAAGTGTAGCATCATTTCGATAAGAAAGCAAGTTTTTATAGTTTTTAGCTCCAAAAAAGGAGCAAAAAATGCAATTTTTATCCCTAGATCAAGGTATAATCAACACTCAACTATCTATCAATAATGATCATTTACCTATTGAGTTAACGCAATCTATTCATGTCCAATTATTTCATACAATAGAAAAACAGGCTTATATCCCCTACACAGGGTGCTTATTAGAGCATATAGTTAACACATCTTTACTTTCTAATAAGGAGAAACTATTCTACTTACTAGCTGACAGTCTTGCTTTAATCAGTAGTAAAAATAACACACAACATAGATATACTGACCTTGCTTCAATCAATGATCACTGGACTAAAATTGGCAAAAATATTTTTGATCATCCTAAGGAATTAAGATAATTTTGAGTAGCAAAATTGCAGGTCGCCTTGAACCTTTTTCCTACATTAAATAATTCCCTACTTCAAGTGATGTATCAACAGTTTAATGGACAATTTAAATTAGGCCCTAATTAATGCCGGATAAGTAAAAAATAAAATATGAATTAAGTTAAGCATAAAATGAGCAATTATACTTGCTTCTATCTTTTTTGTTACTTTATATGTCCATCCATATAAAAACCCAGCTACTGTAGATAGTATTAGATACTTAATTCCTCCTGGATAGTGTACCACACCAAATAAGATTGAAGAGACTAGTAACGCGACTATTTCAGAATGTTTATATTTTAGTTGATTTAGTGATTTTTGAAAAAATCCTCTAAACAGTCCCTCTTCAGCGACACAGGTAAAAAATAAATTACTAATTATCCATATCCACAAATTTTTTGACAATTTAGGTTCAAATCGGACATAACCAAATAACGTAGATAAAGTGAGTATTATAAGTATAATAACAGGCAATCTATAAGAGAGTTGTATCAGTAAGATTTTCC